GGGCTAGAGTCATTTAAAATGTTTATTTTGCAAGATAAGTTCAGCAAAAGGACTGTTCTATTTGAGTTTTCAGAAACCTTATTTCATTTAAATTTCACAATTGAGTTTTCTCTACAACAAATGTTCCTTCTCTTATCTTGTGATATATCCCGGGACCCCAAGGGAAGCCTGAAATTCAAGCTTTCAATTGACAAAGAAGGAAACACTCGACCAAACCAAACAAAATAAACATAATTTATATTTGTTTGAAATACAACTCCTTAGGGCAACTACATCCTGAAAAAGGAAAATGTTTGATTCAACAGACTTTAAAATGCAATTTTAGAAAGTAATGCCAGTTGTACGTTTCTAAAATGACGAGGAATGATTTTTTTAAATATTGTATTATTATCCCATAATCTCACAGTATGACGTTTTTCTCTCATAAGCCTCTAGTGGGTGAGAGTTCCCGTCCTGCCAGCGGATGTGAAATTAGCTTTACGAGGAAAACCACAGAGGCTGGAGTGACCATTACTAATCACAGAGAAAACACGGATCGATATCTCCCTCATCCTCCTAATGTCTGTGATTACACGACAATAAGCACCAGATTAGGGAAAGAGCAAGACAGAGAAGATCATTAACAGAGGGAACTGGAGAAATGGAATATGGGAGGGGCTGTCTAACATTTGAAAGCTCTCCATTTGAACTTCAAAACATTCAGACATTAATGTTGCATTACATCACCGTGTCTGTGCAGAACACACTTTCTAAAATGATAAGACACGGGGATGATGACTCACCACAGGGCGGACAGAAGCAGGCCAGCTGATGGGAGGAAGCGCTCTGTGAGAGGAGCTGAGAATGACACCAGACTAATCCCTCTCCTTCAGCTCTTTCATTTTGATCATTTAAAATAAAAAACGTTTGAGCCGTTAAAGCAAAAGTGCTCTTTCAAATGTCTTAAATTAATTTTGAATAAACTGGAAACACAAGGCATTAGGTGCAATTCTATCCATCTGTCTTCATCTGCATTTTCGATTGAGATGCTTTTATGCTTGGTTGAGGTGGAAAGGCTGGTGTATGAATTAAAGCAAAATGTGGCAATGTGCAATGGAAATAGTCTAAGCAAATAAACCATGACGTACAGACAGCATGTGACTCAAACACCCCCAGAATCTTCACTGAAGTGATTAAAAATAGCGGCCCACAAAATCTGCATACACAGATGCGGTCCTCACAAGATTTATTTTCCAACTGCACTAAGCCTTCTGTTAAGCAGATAGGCATGTTGTATTTTATAGATGCCTTTATTAATAATACAATGGTAAATATTTAGCCTTTTTTTAATGGTACAATAAGTCGGGCTTAAAGGCAATATTGGACGGTTAAAAAGAACACAAACCCTTTTAAAATGTGATTGTATTCTGCATTAACATCTTATTATAATAATACACAGCTTTTTATATTGTATTACACATTTGATGTATTGTAGTACACTGTGCACATTTTAGCTTTGAATTCTTATTTCTATATAAATATCTTAATTATATATATTTGTATTCCTTTATATGACATTTTTCTGTAATTTTTTATGTTTATATAAATACGATTATTTGTAAGTTTATATACTTCTTATTTATTTCTCTCTTTATTTTTATTTGATTACAAAATGGAGCAGCCGTCACGAAACCCAATACCCCCCACCCCCCCCGGGATAAATAAAGTGTCCTGCTTGATTCTGATTCTGATACAGATTGATGGGGGGGTGACATTCAGCAAACAGCCGGAGGTTGAGTTGTGTATATATTATTTTAGTCCAACCATAATGTTGATTCAGTTCTTTAATTGTTTTAGTACAGAATCAGATTCAAGATTGTACTCATTATTTTTCAAAGCACTTCCTGAAATTCAGACTGTATCTCTGGAAGCTGTTAAGAGCATTTTTTTGTTACCCAAAATTTGACCTGCAGGATCAGTATTTTATGTATGCATAGTAGGGATGGGAATTTGAAAGCAAATGTATATTCGAATATTCGACCCCCAAAAAACGGTTAACCGATTAACCAAAATGTACATATCCTATAAAAAAAAGAAAAAATTGGGAAACATTTTTACAAAAAAAAAAAATAATAATAATTTTGAAAAATAAATAAATACATGTTCAAATAAGTATAGAAACCAAGTCAAATTTGTCAAATGTATTGAACTGGTGATCACAGTTTGAACAGTTGACAGCTATAGGCCTACAGCTTTCATGCTTAAAACATAACTTGGTTTTTAAATGAAAGAGGGATCATACATGAACAACATAACGGGTTAGGGTAACGTAACCCTATTACAACAGAGATCAACAACCTGTAACAGGGCCTATGCACAGAATGCAGCTATTCAATACTCATTCTTCTTTAAGAATATGAGCATGTCTACTCAGGGGAGGCGGGTGCAGAGACAATTCACAATCAGGCCAGCTGTAGAGAAGACCCTCTGAGCTTGAATTTGGGTATAAGATGAGGTTTGAGTCTGCGTGATCTGCGTGTAGGGAGGGGCAGCAGCATATCATTAGCTAGATCTGATGGATTTGGACATAAACGCGAGTGAAGTATAACCGGACGTGAGAGAGAGACCAGCACCTGCAGCTCTGCCTGCTGTGAGGGACCGGTGAGTGGAGCAAAACACACCTTTCGACCTAGAAATAACTCATATTCTAATACCTAAATAATTTTGAATATTCAACACACACACACACACACCCCCACACACACACCCCCACACACACACCCACACACCCCCACACCCACACACACACACACACACACACTTTTAGCTTTAGCCCAATTTATGCATAGCTGACTATCAAAATCACACATGTATTAAAGTCTAGAAGCGGTTTGAATGGCTTAATTTGAAAGTTAAAATGCCTGCTGGGAATATTGTTCAATTTCAGTTCAGCCCTTCATCCAAAAACTCAGAAACTCAAACAGCCTGAGCTGCCGCAAAATGTAATTTAGAGTCTCAGCGGGGAACTGAATTTCTTTCTTCAGAAAGCAGCAATAGCATTTCACTGTGCCCAGACATTCTACTGAGGCCCCGAGATATATTGAAGTCCCCAGGCTGAAATGGTGTAAATTAGAATGTAAAAACCTGATTCACAGCATCCTCACAGGGGAAATGATACTGGCTGAAAGAGAACACAGTGTGTCCCGGCGCAGCTGAACAATAACCTTGGTAAATAAAGAATTAAACACACAGAGCGAGCTGACCCCGCCCTCGAACAGTGGCAGGACAAAAGCATGAAAACCTAGCCGTGTTAACTGATTCCCCAGGTTCAATATAGGGTTACAACCACAGATGAGATGGGCTGCAGATAAGAAGCGCAGCGTGTCAGTCTTCAGGGATTCATTTCTAACCATTACAACAAAAGTCAACAAAACAAGGTACATGTTAAAGGGAGGATATGTAAACTCTTTGAACTGCACATTACCGGCCTTTCAACCAGGTTAAAAAGGTCTGTTAATGTGCAGTTCAAACAGTTTCAGTACAGAAGAGAGTGCTATTTCCGTGGTGTCAGACACAGGGATAATGGTAGACCAATAACAGGCTTCTACGGGCTCTAATTACACGCTGTCATCATGTTCTCTGGTTTATTTGACCAGAAGAGAGATGCTGTGGTCTTTAATTGGCTTTAAGACAACCCGACTGCCTTTTAAATGGTGGTCGGAAATAACAAAGGATTGTACAGTCACCAGCTATAAAAAAAAAAAGTATGTTAAAAGAACTATACTTTTTTTATGTTAGCTAGCTTAGCAACACAACACGCACGTAGGACAAATCTTAGAGAAACACTAAACATATATTGATTATGTTATTTTACATTTGAAATGTTTGGGTTTTAAATCAACCCAAGTTACTTCCATCTGGGGAAATGGATAAAAGGTAGCCAAGCAATTGTTATTATAAGTACTTATGTAGCTAAGGGAGCTACATTCTTTATTGGAAATAGTCCGGCTACAGTGACATAACTCTTCAGCTAACTAAAGAGAAATTAAAGCTTTTTCCCCAAAAATAAACAACTCATCTTAGGTACCATATAGTACTCCTGAAGATATCTGTAAATGGCCAACTGAAAATAGCAATGCCGCCTTATGCTACAAAGACATTTTGTTAAAGTACATCTATTGTGGTTTAATAAATATTTAGCCCTGTCAAATAAGTTTCTAAGCACTGCGAGTAGTAGCTCGTGCAGTTCTTAAGATAGCCAAAGCAGCTACATGTCACTGATGGGGAGTTCTGTAGCTGAAGGCATTGTACTACTTTTCTACTTTCACTACCATTGTATAGTATGTTACTGATATTTTAGAAATCCATTTCCATAGTGTCTTAAAACAACAATCTTAGTCATAGTTGTATATGTTATCATGAGTCCTTATAATGTTTGTGTACAGCAGTTATTGGTCTGTATTGTCCATGGTAGAGTGATAAGCCCTGCTAAAAGGCATTACTGCATCAAAAGCATTTGCTCATCCATTTGACCTTTGAGCAGCAGCTGTTCTGCACCACAAGCTGCTGCTGCACTGTCCTAATTGAGGTTTTAACAGTGTAAAAGTCAACTATAACCAAAATAACCAACCATTACATTAATGATCTAGGGTATAAGTAAGGACAAAAGGCAACTTTAAAATCAATGGAGAGATGTAACATACGCAAATTCAAACATAGCAGCGCAAATTGAACGCAAGGAGCATATTATCAAGTAAAACCTGTCAATGTAAGTAAAATGACAGAAATATTCAAAGTCTCTTGTGAGATCTCAGTCAACAAACCACACAAGCACTTCATGATTCAAAATCATGATTCTTGTGTATTTTTAAAAAACTAATTTACAGCTAACGTACAGCAAACATACTCAAAATGACATTGGAATTGACATGTTGGTCTTTGCTTATTGGTTTAGGCAAAACCACAAGCCCTTCCAAACAGGATATGGTTAATAAACACAATGATAGACTGCGTGTGTAAACCTGTAAAAAGAAGATTTCTACCTTCTGTATTCTCTTGGGGTCCTTAATGGGGCCTTCCCTGAGGGGGACCTTCCCAAACAGCTTCCACCCCGGATCCTTCTGCTCCACCGGCCGATTGTCCTTCACCCTCCTGGCAAACAGGCTCCTGGGAGACAAATGGGAGAGGGAATTAGATTGGAGGACAAACATGTATATAATATGAGTTAATTAAAACACAAGGGCAAAGCATAGAACACAAGCTATGATCGCGGTCCTCACTGGGTCCCTCTTGGGGTCTAAAGAGCTGCAGTATATGTGTGTGTGCATGCTACTGCAGAAGTTCACGACTTAGATAAGCTCACAACAGGAATCTGTGGATTTAAAGAACAAAGGGTAAAGGCAATGTTTGACATCATGTGAGCTGTCAGGCTGGTCAGGGTCATTTAAAGTAGACCTGGACGCATAGAGTGGAGCAGTTATGACTTATTTTTGTAGGCTAACCCGGAAGGTAGCGAGGGCTCCTTCGACAAAAAGCTAATGGGATTTTTCCATTGGATTTTGGAATATTGCAGAAAATAAGATCTGTGGCAAAAAAGTTTATGATGCTTACACGTTTTGTTCAGCAGTAAAATCTCTACATATTAACACCGCTTTAATAAAAACTGAAGCATAAAGCAGAAGAAAAGAGATAACGTATGCTATAAACAAACTACATCACGGTAGCATAACTCCGCTAAGCTAAAGGTAGATGGGGCGACGGGGCGTGATGATGTTTAGTTGTTTGTTTGTTAGCAATCGCCTTTTTTAGGACATTTACCAGTGGGATAGCGGGGTCATTCAAAACGTGAAAATCTTGAAACCTTAAGACCATACTTTAGTCATCTAACCAAAAACGTATTTCAAAAACCATTGAAGAGAAAAGGGAACCCGTCACTGCTGCCTTCATTAAAGAATAGGAACTTTCCAATTGAAATAACCACTAAACTATCAGCTCTGCACCCAAAACTAAAAACCACCTTAACGCGTAAATAGAACACGAATCTGCTCGCTCCGTCCAGCTTCCATCCACCTGGAGTTTGAATACCATATGCAAAGCTTCTGAAAAGCTTCCTCTTTTCAGAAGCATCCACTGTGTCATTGAGCCAGATATTCCTTTCATTTATCCATCAGTGCCGTGTTGTCAAAGAGCGGTTAGTGGGGCTTTAATTAAAAGCTTCAATAGAGCCCTGTCATGAAAAGAAGAAATGAATGATGTGAAATTAAAAACCTTTTCTAACCAGGACACTTAACATAACACACAGAGTAAAGAGGAGTAACATCAAAGAGGGCATATGATGCTGTTTGTCTGGGTTACATCTCATCAAGTGACTCAATGTCAACTGCCTTATCTTATAATCAAGTGACATTGTATTAGTCAAGATTAATAAGCCGTTCCGATAAGGAAGTTGTGATGGCACCATATAGCCAAGTTGGAGATGTTTAAATATTGGCCCATTGTCTACGTATTCAGCATATAGACTAACTAATATATTTGAGAACATGTGAGAATTACACTAACTGGAGCTATAAAAATAAACCCGTTACTTATGGTGTAAGAATTCTGACAAGTCATTTACGCTCGAGAAGCTGCCCCGAAAAAGACTTATAGCAGTTGTCTTTTCATGCCAATTTGGCAGTTTTAAAGATATTTTTTGACATTTACTTTCCAATGGAAACATCTCAATCCAACCCATTTCCTCCACTGTATTTACTGATACTGGAGAACACAAGATAATGCAAGCATTGGAAGGTACTTCCTCATTAAGTAGGGGACTACAACGTTTAAAGAAGAAGTTGAATGACAACACAGATATGAAAGATCATGAAGCAATTTCTTAAAGGTGCAAAATGCAGTGGCATTATCTGTTCAGCTGTTCCCAGAACTGCACACTGGAATCACAGAACGGGAAACAAGCAACCACTAGATTTGCAACTTTTTTTCGTGGAAAGATAAGACATATGCTGGAAGAAATTAGGCATCAGACACTTGTAGAGCAACATTTTATACTAAGGAATGCAGTCATCTGTGTACGGGAATATCTGATGTTATCAAGGTAACCCAACTCCCCTCTGAGGAAAAGGAAGAAAACATCAGCTCTCAGTTACAAAGAAGAAAGCATCTGATCCAAAGGGAAGATCAGAAAAAGAACAGTGTGACCAATACCTACCAGTGAATTCCAAACTCAAGGTCCACTTGCAAGTTTGTATTTGAGCTTGCACTACCTTTTAACAGTTTTCATCAGCATTCATGTCCCAAGCTCTAGTTATCACCTTTTGTAATATGCTAAAGTTTGATACTCAGGTCACATGATGACAACAGAACCATCTCTATTTCAACTGAGCAAACTCTATTTGCTGAATAAGACCATTAAGCATGATTGAAAGCTCCGGAAAAATATCAAAGTCTGTAAATATCCTTCGTTGTGTCAAACTACTATTTCAAAAAGGTCAATAAAGAACATTCCAGCTCAACCAGGGACTTTTTCCAATAACTCAGACAAAAATTGACAATTTATTTTTGTCCAAGGACACGCTGAGGAAAAATAAAGTGCACCCAGGCCTTGAATTAGGGATGTCCCGATCACCTTTTTTTGCTCCCGATCCGATTCCGATCATTTGATTTTGACAATTTGCCGATACCGATTTTTCCCGATCCGATCTTTATGCAATGCATTAAGAGGGAAAAAAGCATTCAAGTTGTCCCTTAAGGTTATTTTTTTATTTAAATTGGATATTCTATCCAACATGGATAGAGCTTCTTTTTTTCACAGCAGCATTGGATCACTTCAGTTGTGCAGCATTGGATCAAAACAAAATAAAGCTTATCAGTACTCGTTAGCTTACTGCTACAATTAGACACTGCGCCCTGCCCACTCTGTTGCCAGATTTGAGAGAAATAAGCAACCAGGTCTATGAAAACAAGCCCCAAAGAAGCAACACATACATGATGTTGTGTAATTTGAAACCAAAACTAAGGCCTCAGGATGACTTTAAGACTTGAACATGGTCATTTTTGTTTTGTAACATTGAATACAACATTAAAAAAATTATAATAATAATAATAATTAAAACTGCGGTCACAGATGTGCGCAGTGATGAGCGGGCCCTCGCGTCCGTGCGCCTGTCGGGGAGGGCGGCCGGTCGTCCCGGCGTCAAGCAGACGCGCGCGAGTCCTCCGAAATGAGCCGTTTGTCATTACTCTCATTTTCGCGTCCCAGGCTCCCAGGTTCTCCGGCAGCGACCCGGAAACGGATGTCGGCGCGCCGTCTGGAGGAAAACAAATTTGTCTAAAGGCTCGTCGAGGATGGATTATCGAGGAGGATGGATTATCGAGGAGGCTGTCTGGAGGAGCCGTAACCGAGGATACACTGATTTAGAGGAGAGAGGAGAGAGGAGAGAGGAGAGAGGAGAGAGGGGGAGAGTCTCTGGAGGAGCTATAACCGAGGGTACACTGATGTATCCTCCGTTTTCAGCCAACAGTAATGTTTAAAAGAGGCGTGACGCATGGCTGGACTTATGTCAACAAAGCAAAGCTCTGCTAACTGTTCCCGTTGTGATTATAAGTTATTTAAGAGGATCAAATGTGCATCAGACTTTCTGCCCTTTACCGTTTGTTTATTCACTAATCACATCTCGCCTGGATGTTATGCTATTTTTTTTTAATCCAACTGCTTTCATTCAGACGCGATGTTTACAGTGAGAACAGCAATAACATATGAACCAGGCCCCCCTCATTTGCAATAGCACTTTATTTGTATGCTTGAAAGTAGTATCCTTTACAAGGTTACAGAGTAGATATTTGCATGAACATATAGTTTGGGGGTCTTTTCCTCAACTATACAGCGCTGTAGCGTGAAATATACCATGCTATGCTTAGGACTTTGCTATCGTGGTGTGTTTTTGTACCAGTGAAAGTAGGGTGTCTGTTTGTAATTTAATCTGGCACGCGAGGCGGTGTGGTTTGGTGGGTTGGGGGGGGTGGGTTTAGGGGTTTAGGCTACTAACCTTAAAGTTTGAGCTCTCTTGTCCCCGATTTTTTCAAGGTCTTGTTATGAATGGCCATTTTTCCGACTGCCGTGCTTTTCCCTACGGTAAAAAAATGTTGTCTGACCTCCCACCCGATTGCTGTAAAGTACTAAGTTTGTTTGGGCCCGTTGAAAAACAAAAAAATGGAAATTTTTTAAGGTAAATAACTTTTACCTGTTGTTAAACCTTATGCCTATAAAAAAATGAAGTGGCGG